GGGGGTAGGGGAGGGGGGCCCGCGGGCCGAATCTTCGCGATCGCCTCTATCGGTTCCGCTAGGGTTCGTGATCGGAGAGGAAGGAGGCCCGGGCCGGCCTCGCGAACGTGAAGGAAGGCTCGGGAACAATATGGGTGTCATTTCCTCCCCAAAATGGATTGCCCCTCGGAGGAAGGAAAGCTCGAGCCGGCCTCGCGAACGGGAAGAAAAAGCAATCGAGTGAACCGTGTGATTTAGGGATTTTGGTTTAGAGAAAAAAAACAGAATTATATAATATATATATATATATATCAAATTTCATGTGATTTATCCATGTGCGGCGCCCTAGCAAAAATAGGTGTCCTCCTTAGGTAATTTCAATATTCCGGACGCACCGGCGCTGTCTGTTTTGCTGTCAGAGGTCGTTTTGACGAATTCATCGATTTGTGTGTCAATTTTCTCGTGTCAAAAATATGGCAATATGGGTGTCATTTTCTACCAAAATTGGTATCCCGGACGCGTTAACGCAGTCTATTTTGTCGTCGGAGGTCATCTGGAGAAGTTCGCATTTTCACCCGTCTTTTAGGCTTAATTGAAGTCTGATTTCGTGCAATTTCGTGAACTTTGTGTATTTGGTGTATGTATGTGACGACAAGGTCGTGACGATGTTTTCCTAAGGCTTGAAGTCCTATCAGGAACTTTTCCCTTGAGTCTTCGCAAAATAGCCCATAACCGCTCGTTCATAAGACGATGGTCTTATGCCAAAAATGTTAGACATCAAAGGAAAATAAGAAGCGGCTAGAATTTCTAAATGAGTGGGTCTCAATTCTAGTTTTCTAAGATGGTCAATAGGAACTCCGAGAGCTAGATCCTAAGACCCTAAGGAAAAAGAAATGACCTCAAAAATGAGGTCAACACATGTTTGTGTGGCTCATTTGTATGAAAGCTATCTTTACTTGACCAAAGCAACACTGTAGTAACTATAATCATGCTACATTTTATTTCGAAAAGATTTTCAGATGGAACCATTATAGCATTCCTTGATTTTTTTTTAATTGTAATAATTACTAAATATTCTGTGCTTTTCAGGGAGGTCGTTGCGGTATCTATGGTGCGAACTGTCCTGAATGGATTATTAGCATGGAGGTAATGGCCGTTTTAATGCACAATCACTATAATGTCTTTTTTAGAATGCAAATTAATTTAAAGTTTTAATGGCTTGTAGAATATTTTTATACTGACCAAGAATTTCACATTCTTTCTACTAAATCTTCATATCTAGTTTGATTTATGAATGCATCTAAATTTTCCACAGGCTTGCAATGCTCATGGGATCTATTGTGTTCCATTATATGATACCCTTGGTATGTAACATACTCATCATCATGGCAATACACAAGCTAGATTCGTTTAAGGCCTAGCAATTCATATTTTCTAGTAGAGCAAAGTGTCAAAATGGTCCCTTGGCTCTTTGCAGGGGAGCATTTTAGTCCCATAATTTATAAAAGTGTCAATATCATCCCCAGATTTTTTTTAAGGGACATTTACATACATGGCACAAAATTCTTACGCCTAAACTTTCACATAGTACTCAAATCTTTAATACCACACAAAAAAATAGCACCATTATAATTTTTTAAAAGTGAAATATAGTATGGGGGACTAATTTAACACTATTATTAACTTTAAGATTAAAATGACTCCATATAAATCGTTAGGTGACAATTTTGGCACTTTTCTCTTTTCCAGTATGTGTACATGAATGCTGGCCATTCATGCACTGAGTGGCTGTTTATTGGAGCACTCTTCTCATACTTTATGCAGCATTCATGCACTGAGTGGTTGTTTATCAGAGCACTCTTCTCATAGTTCATGCAAATCATTGGTCACTACATGTTTGTTGGTTATTTATTTCTTATTCATCCTATATTTTTTGCTTAGGTGCTGGTGCTGTTGAATTTATATTAAGCCATGCAGAGGTGCAAATTGCTTTTGTGGACACGAAGAAGATTGCAGAGGTAATGTGCTCAATCTAGCTTGCAGTGGAGATTTTATAATGAATCAATTGCCTCATAAAATTGCAGAGAATTCATGCTGTAATACTTACCTAAAACATTTCTTTAAATGATGTATAAATCGTGTTATTCTTCTAAACCGTCATTCCATTTTTTTTTTCATTTTTCTAGCTGTTGAAAATCTTTCCTAATGCTGCCAAGTTCTTGAAAAGTAAGCATTTTCATATTAGGTTTTGTTACGTATTTTTATTTATTCTAGTGTATGCTACTTTATATGTAAATTCTGCTTGCAGTTGTTGTGAGTTTCGGAAGTATTTCCCCCGACCAGAAAAAGGAGTTTGAACAATTTGGTTTGAAAGCCTACTCCTGGGATGAGTTCTTGCTTTTGGTAAGTAAACATCTGCTGCTACTAAGGTTTCTTTCATTAATCCATGGAGCGATGTTCTTTTGTTTTAAAATAATTTCCTGGCTTGGTTTTAGAAATGCAGTAGTTATGATGTACTGTCGGTTTAAGATGCAGCTTACTATGAATCTGTGACTGTTCAATTTTGCATCGACGTATCTTAACTGGGATTTTTGCTGTATTCTATTTACAGGGCAATAGCCAAAAGTTTGATCTTCCTTTAATCAATAAAACAGACATCTGTACAATAATGTACACAAGTGGGACAACAGGAGATCCAAAGGGTGTACTAATTTCCAATGAAAGCATCCTGACTTTTATTGCTGGTGTTAATAGACTGCTTGAATCCATGAATGAGCAGGTGAGCAATATTAATATTCTCTCTATATTCATAATGAAATTACCACAAATCCAATGTGTCTTCTTCAATTTTTGTTAATATCATCAAAATCAGTGCATGGAGTTTGTGTTTTTTTTTAATTTTAATTTAAGATAATTTGAAGTAATCATCTAGCCATTTTCTAACCTATCCAATTTTGGAAATATTGCAGTTGCGTGTTGATGATATTTTTCTATCATACCTCCCGCTGGCCCATATATTTGATCGGGTGATAGAGGAGATGTTTATTTTCCATGGGGCCTCGATTGGATTTTGGCAAGGGGTGAGCTATTTCTTAATTTCTTTAATTTTTTACAAGGTTCGCCGTCATTATTTGCATGTAACATCTACAGGACGTTAAATTGTTAATTGAAGATATTGGCGCTCTAAAACCATCTGTTTTTTGTGCCGTTCCTCGTGTACTAGATCGTATTTATACAGGTGAATTTCTCAGATTCTCTCCCTCCCGTCTAATTCCCCTCTCTACCTCTCTTGTTCAATCACACAAACTGATGTTCATGCCTCCAATCACTCACTTTATTGTCCAAGTGCAATTTAATATTTTGTTCTTCATTGCTTATAACTGTGTACTTCCCCGTTCCATATCAAATTAAATCTCTGAACGGTTGCTGATTTTTATACGTTACTAAAATGTATTTCTTTTGTTCAGGTTAAGCATAATAACTTCTTTATTTTGTATTTTTTTTACATGTGTTATTCTACTTTGTTCATAGGTCTGCAGGATAAAATCTCTAGTGGAGGTCTCTTAAAGCAGAAATTGTTTAATCTTGCCTATAGATAGTAAGTTTTTACTCAGTTCTCAAGTCCAATGGTACCCTGCATTAATTTGTCTACCTGTTCATTCAATTTCGTTCACACTAGAAATTCTTGTGTTGCTCTGTATGTTCATGTAATTCCTGATTTTGCAGCAAGCTACACAATATGATAAATGGAAGTAAACTTGAGGAGGCAGCTCCAGTTGTTGATAAAATAGTATTCAATAAGGTAACCAGATGTCTCTTAATCCATCAACCAAGGGTTTCTCGCCGGTTTTTGGCATCACAGTTGATTAATATGATAGAAATTCTCTTGCATGCTATAGGTTAAGCAAGGACTAGGCGGTAATATACGACTTATATTGTCTGGGGCGGCTCCACTTGCTACTCACGTGGAAGAATTTTTACGGGTTGTGACTTGTGCTCATGTTCTACAGGGCTATGGTACAAGCTTTACACTACCTGCTTCTTATAACTTGAAATACTTGGAGGCGGTTTAATGATTGCTAGAATCAAAATTTTCTCATTTTGACTTTGCTTTGGTCAATTTTACGGGTGAATTCATTCTTTTTCTCACAATATCTTTATTATCATTAGCTATAACTATAATATTTTTTCATTATTTTTTTATTTTTTCTTGCCTATATGTACAATTCTACAATGGTGTGGTCCATTATAATTCTCTTCCACTTCTATTATGGCATCTATGCCTATCCATCATTAAACCTTGCTCCTTTCATGTGCATTGCACCTTGCTAATATTGCATTTTGTGTATTTTATTTTCTTTTGCATGAGATAGAGAGAGGCGGCAGTTTCCTAACATTGGCAAATGTCGTTTGCAAATTCTTATATAAACTATCAATTAACATAAATGCATCCCTAAAGAAAATAAAATGGTAAAGAAGGGTTAAAAGAGCAAATCAATTAGGATAATAGTGATGATGATGACAACGCGGCCAAGAAAGCCTAAAATGAGTATAAATTGTTATAACTTCTGTTGAAAGAATATCAACGAATTTTTATGTTTCAATATTTATTGCCCTAGAAAAAATAGCACAGTAATACGATTAATGTGATTTTTTTTAGGTCTTACGGAGACCTGTGCAGGAACCTTTGTTTCACTGGCAAACTCTATGTCAATGCTTGGAACGGTTGGACCTCCTGTGCCAAATATAGATGTGCGGCTGGAGTCTGTTCCTGAGATGGGTTATGATGCACTAGCAGACCAACCTCGTGGGGAAATTTGCATCAGGGGAAAAACGTTGTTCTCAGGGTACCACAAGAGAGAAGACCTCACAGATGAGGTTTTGGTTGATGGCTGGTTTCACACAGGTTTGTTATCCCCGGCATGTCAACTTTTAGGGGCTATTTGTTAACATCTTTAGTAAATCCTGTAAATCCACCAACACTAGGAATTTAAGACTAATTGAGAGGAATTAAGAAGAAATTGGATTTACTAAATCTAGGATTTAAAATTGCCATTTTTTCTATCTTGTAGATTTAGGTTAAATCCCACTTAAATCCGTAACTGGAGTCCCTTAATGTAAGTTTTAAGGTCGAGTAAAGGATTTACTGTACAAAAAATGAAGATTTAATAGTATGCTTGGAATGTGAAATGTTCAGTACAGTGGAATAACTTCCATATGATTTCTTCTAATTGAAATGTTTCTTGTATCGGCAATGCTTATGATGAAATGAAATTGATATCTTAAAAATTTGAAACTTCTCATTTTTCGCCATATAGAAAGAAAAATTCTAGCCAATGTTTCCCTCCATCTCATGCACCATTGATGTTTAAGTCCTTTGATTTTAGGTGCTCTTTCCTTCACCAGTTCTGATTGTCTTATTAAATTAAAATTTATTGTCTTATTTATATTTTTTTAAATTAGGGTTTTACATATCAACCATTCAAAACATTGAATATAACATTTTAATCATTTTTTTCATCAAAACTACACTTCTTTACTCATTATTGAAGGTTTTGAGTGAAAGTTTTGGGTGGTTAAAATGAAAAAACGCCCATTGAAGTATTTGATCTCTCCATGGATAATTTTTGGGCCAATTACATACATACCATCCACTTTGAATGTATTTACACTTCTAACACCTAAACTTTGCTTTTTTACATTTATATCACCAAGTCTTCCATATCACATCTAAAATAACACCATTTAAATTTAAAAGTGAAATGCACCTTTCCCTGCATGGGGAGATGCTTGGCAAATGATTAACTTGTGAGCAATAATTATAGAGAAGTCATTGAACTCTTTTACGTCTCAAATTACTGGAATTATTTACCTCAGATTATTTGATGCCTTTCATTCTCATTCATACGAAGTAAGTTCTACTACATTAACATCTATGGATCATTCAAAGTCTCTCGACGTCTTTCTCATTCTCTTTGTAGGAGATATTGGTCAATGGCAACCAGATGGAAGTATGAAGATCATAGATCGAAAAAAGAACATTTTTAAGCTTTCCCAAGGAGAATATGTTGCCGTGGAAAACTTGGAGAACATTTATGGTTCCATAGCTGATATAGACTCTGTAAGTGTGGTCCCTCGGTTTTGTTTTGAAGAAGTTCTTCTATGTTTTTTAATTTAAATTCCTTACAAAAATGTTTATATCTGAATTGTATTTTTTCATTAAATTAGTTATCAGTTTTGCCTTTCGTTAATTAATTTTATTTAGTATAAATAGGATTAATATGTTTAGGGTTAGAATTATGCAAGAGATTATTATCTTTGAGTCTTAACGTTAGGATTTGAGAGAGATTTCCTGTCTCTCGAATTGTAGGATTTGAGAGATTTCTGCCTCTCGATAGGATTTGGGAGAGATTGCCTATCTCTCGCATTGTAGGTGCTTATCTTTATACATTTGAGTTGTGTTCTATTTAAGTTATGTTATTTAATGTTATGAAATAAAAAATATTATGCATTCTAATTTCTCCGAAAAATCTACTGGTATCGTATCAAATGGAGCCTTCAATTATGGGAAGACAACATTCGAATCGCGGTATACAGGTTGATATGCAATAGGAATTGAGGCCTACAAACCCCCGTGACCGAACCTTGTGACAGAATTCCACGATGCAGTCGTCGATCTTGGGAAAGCAACGACTTGATCTTGGCGAAAGGTGACCTTCGTGACTGAACTTCCCGCTATAGAAGTGACGCTACAGTCACGATCGAGCCTACATAAATGGCAACGAGATCATGGGTAAGAGCTAGCGGAGAAGGCCACGTTTGATCGCAACTTACAATGACGATGCATTGGGATTTGGCTCGATGGACGATGGATCAAGATCTTGTAATACAGTCATGATTTTTTTTCCTGGCTAGGAAACCAACAACGGGATCAGCATGCATACAAAAAATAATTGATCGGCGTGTGTACAAGAAGCAATGGATCGACGTGCCTGACACGGTCTAGTTGCTATTAGCATGCAGATACCCAAAACTCCCTCCTCCTGCTCAATCCTCGTGAAACTGTCGAGATTGGAGCTAGCTGGGAAGACGAAATCCTTAAATCTGGCATGAATCTACGCCAAATCGAGCTCGCTTTAAGACTGATTAGAGCTAGCTGGGAAAACAAGCATCCTAGGATCGAACCCCACGACTCTGATCTATCTGGGACACAAAAAAACGGAATTGCTGCTTACTGTGATGAGAATATCGTGATATAGTCGAAATATGGCTTCATTCGGGCTTAGCTGGGAAAATAGATCGATAGGCTTTGAGACCTCACGAAACTGTGGTGACTTGAGCTGGCTGGGAAGCCACAATTCAGGAGCTTGGGGGAGATGATAAGGAAGCTTATTCTCTATCGACGACTCAATTTCTAAACCCTAACTAGGGGCTGACATGATATTTTGTGGCTTGATCGAAAGGGAAAGCGATTGAATGTGAGGAACATGAGGAGAAAAGCATCCACCATCAAAATTTCCCCTCAACGACTCTGATGGGGGTGGATTAGAGATTTCTAATGGAGAGGGTTCGGTCGAAACATTGAGGAAGGATTATGCAAAGGTTTGGGAGAGCACTTGGAAGGAATGGTATGAGCTCCGAATGGATGTGATAAATTGAAGAAGACAAGATTGAATGAAAGAATTGAAAGCAGATTCGACCGACATCATGTGGAGAGAATTGCACGACATCTGGAGGTTGAGAATGCAGAAAGGGACAACGTGCAATTCGGGGCTGGAAAAGATTGCTTCGAAGAATTTCGGCCTGCAATAGGGAACCATGATGGGCGGAACACTGGCGGTGGGCTGCATCCAATTGCGTCGGTGCCCTTTGCGGCGAAAGCCTTCCTGGAAGAAGGCGATTTGGGAGTAATGTTGGAGGCCGAGACCATACAACTTTGTGCGAGCTCCTCTAGCCTAGTCTTGTGGGAGTTAGTGTTTCTGTGTAGATTAAAGAGCCACGAATCAAGAAACAATATGTGGCAAATTTCCCATCCTGGTTATTGACGAGCTATTCGACAAGTTGTTTCGGGCTGCGATGTCCTCCAAGGTTGATTTGTAGATGGGGCATTGGCAAAGTCTGAGGCGGTCGAAGATTGTGCACAAGAATTTATCGTGGAATCCTATAGGTCCCTCCAAATTTCTGATTAAATGGAAAGGATTCTCGGAGGATGGAGCCACGTGAGAGCCATACCACCTGATCCAACAATAACTCTTTCCGCTTTATTGACAAGGTGTTTTTTTGGGAAGGGGAGTATTGTTATCTAGCATAAGAGTAATTTTGTCATTTATTAGCCTAAGGGAAATTTAGGTTTTTGATATTTATATTTATTTAGTATAAATAGGGCTAATATGTTTAGGTTTAGGGTTATGCATGAAATTATTGTCTTTGAGTTTTAGAGTTAGGGTTTGGGATAGATTTCTTACCTTGGGAGAGATCACCTACCTCTCGAATTGTAGATGCTTTTCTTTATGTGTTTGTGTTGTGTTGTTTGATGTTCTGAAATAAAAATATTTTGTGCTCAAATTTCTGTGAAAATTTTGCTTGGATCATATTGGAATTCTCTTTTATTTCTTACTCCGTGTTAATGATTTTTTATTGCTTGCATTGGGGTAAATTAAACTTACCTCAAGGCCATGCTGATTGTTACCATGGCATTTTAATATTGATTCGGGAGTAGTTATATCCTTAAGCTCTCTTTCAAGCATGGGGGTAGTGGCTATTTCAGTGAAGTCTATATTTCTTACTTTTCTTCTCAACGCATTGATGAGTGCATTTACAACAACAACAAGCCCTTATCCCACTAAGTGGGGCCGGCTACATGAATCCTTTTTCTCCATTGCGTCTTATTGAGTGTCATATTTTCATTTAATTCTAATAAATTAAGATCATTTTTTATACAATGATGGCGCATTTGAGCAAGTTAAATTTTTTTATACCGAGTTTTCACAACACCTTGATGTCACACCTCCCTGTTTGAAAAATGGTACACTTCAACAACACAACATGTGATGAAATTATCAACTTTGTAAATTTCACAAATCAAGATCAATTAAATGTATTTTATGCTAAATAGAGAAAAAATTCATATACTAGTAATTATAAAAAGAAAATATAAGAGGAGACGAAAAAGAAAAAAACAAATAATAATCATTGTATCGATAGTCCCCATCAATATAACAACAATAAAACAAAATGACTAATTGAAAAAGAAACTAGAAGAAACAAAATTAAATAAACAATGAACATCCAAACCAAATAGAAGAATAATTTAGAACTAAACATAAGCTTAAACATAGAATACAATACTACTAACGTGAGACAAAAAAGAAAAAACAAATAATAATCATTGTATCGATAGAGTCCCCATCAATATAACGACAATAAAACAAAATAACTAATTGAAAAAAAAAAACTAGAAGAAACAAAATTAATAACAATGAAGATCCAAACCAATTAGAAGAATAATTTAGAACTAAACCTAAGCTTAAACATGGAATACAATACTACTATTGAGAATTCTACTCATTTAATGACTGTCTACTAGTCCTGTTACAAAAAAAAGTTTTACAACAAAGAAGTTTGATAATCCAAACTCAATAAATAACTTCTATTTACTAAAGCATAAATAATAAGATATTGTTGTATGCTTTATAAATAATGAAAGAGGCATGATCTATTATGTTATAACAGTATGACTAGTATCATCTTATTAAGGTAATATTATATTTCATAAATGAAAAGCGTCGCATGTTTTAAGATTATTTCCAGTATGGCGATGCCCATGTTTATTTGTATGATAAAATACAAACAAAATAATGCCTTATTAACATATTCTTATGCAACGATATAATGCATAATCATAGATATCTAAAGTTAACTTTATCATGTCTGCTTTTTGTCATGCAGATATGGATTTATGGAAATAGTTTTGAGTCGTTCCTAGTTGCTGTTGTCAATCCTAACAACCAAGCTCTTGAACGCTGGGCTGAAGAGAATGGCGTTAGGGGAGAATTTTTCTCCCTTTGTGAGAATCCTAAAGCAAAAGAATACATTCTTGCAGAACTAAATAAGACCGCTAAAGCAAAGAAGGTATATATTTCACAGATTGATCTCTATTTTTTTAACATTTGCATGATAAGGATACTTTCCCCCATATTCCTCTCCCAATTCAATGGAAGCTATCCTAAATATTGCTATATTACAATTGCAGCTAAAGGGCTTTGAATTCATAAAAGCTATTCACTTGGATCCTCTGCCATTTGATATGGAACGTGATCTTCTTACCCCAACATTTAAGAAGAAGAGACCCCAGCTGCTCAAGTATTACCAGGTCTGCTATTATTTTCCCAATTATTTTATGTGAAATTTTTTTGGTAGAAATGCCATTTATTAATAAGTATGGAAGTAATTTGTCAATCAAAAGCTTATATGGTAATGTCAAGCGGCTACAGTCGCTTCCGGAAACATTAGCAGGTGTTGTGCCTGGTCTCATATGATTGGAGAGCAATCATTCAGGGATATAATATTATTTTAATTTTCTATTAACTAAAAAAATTAAAGAATATTAAGCGATCACCTTCATTGTCACCCTGAACATAAGTCCATTAGTACCTCATGGTTTTCAAGCTGCTGGAAGTCGGGCTATTTACATACATAGCACACAATTCTTATATATTTACATACCTCACATTTACCTTCTTATTTACACAGAAACACAAATATTTAATATCACATAAAAAATAGCACTATCACCACTTTTTAAAATTGAAAACACCTTTTCATGCATAGGTTTAAAGCATCAATGTGCTATCCCTGTAAATATTGAAGTTTAGGTGTGAGATATGTAAATACATAAGTATTATGTGCTAGGTTTCCTTTACTATAACTACTGCATATAGATAAATTTCCTTTACTATAACTACTGCATATAGATAAAGTGAAAGCAAATTTAGTTTAATTCAAACTTAAAAAAAAATTATTCCCGTTCAACTCACTCTATGCTAGAAATTAAAATCAATATTAGTTAAGCTGACGTGACTCGAAATCATTTGATTATTAAATAGGGGTTGAACTAATCCATTTTTTATAGGGTTGGCAAAACTTTTATTAATTAAATAATACTAATAATAATTACTATTATTATTATTAAATGAAAAAAGAACACCTATAATTAGTGTTGTAGAGAGAAATACAAAAAACTAGTAAAATAATCTTATTCAAATTATAAGAGATAAATATAAGTAGGCAACACCGTCATTGTTTTATATATACATCTTTTGGTGAGGATTGGGTAAAATTATAAATTGAGGGCGAGCAAACTCTTAAAAATCAGCGTCTTCCTAAAAGAAGTTTTTTTTAGGGTGGGCATTACCTTCACTCTGATGTAGTTCCGTTCCTGTTATAGACTGCGTAAAATTTATTTTCTTGAAAGAGCCATATTTTTTGAGGGTATAGCCAAGACCATCTCCTCTCATCTGATGAATCATTGATTGTTGCCGTTTTGACTGCCATGGACTTCAAATTTTGGCTGATGATTGCGAAAATCCTTACATCTTGGTTCCACGGTTTAAGGTGGTTAGTCGGAATTTAGAATATGAAGGCCATATAACAGAAAAGATAACAATAGAAACCGTTCTCCTAAACTTCTTTGTTTCACTATACTCTCTCTCTCTCTCCCATGTCAAAAAGTATAAAAAAAATTTGCTGTTTTGGGGATGCATCAGTTTGATAGGAAAAGGAAAAGATAAGATTTATTCAGGACAAACTTAACCAATTTTAATTTGGATGTTAAAAAAAATGACACACACTAATTTTTTCTATGATATTTGGTTTGTTGAATGCATATGAATGATTTTATATAAAGTTATGTTTTCAAGCATTTCATAGCAAATATATTCCATCAATTTTTTAATCTCAAGCTGCTCAAAATTGAAACAATTTTGGGACATTTACAAGCCACGACACAATTTTTATAGATTTACATTTCTAACACCTAAACTTTAGTATTACATTTACAATACTTTGGTGTCATAAATCTACCCACGAAACGTGCATTTCACTCTTCAAAAGTTATTAACAATGATATTTTTATTGTGATGTTTAAAACTTTGAGTGTCATGAATTTAGATATGAAAGTTGAAGTGTTAGATATGTAAATTAATAAAATTCTGTGCTATGAACGTAAATGCCCTAACATTTTCTTGGAGGGTTGTATGTTTTGATATCTCTTGCACTTAAACTGATTATCAACACATCTACCTTTTATCTGTATCGCAGAGTGTCATTGTTGACCTGTACAAAAGCAACAAGTGATCAACCAAACTTCTGTTTTTGAATCCATCTTCATTACAAACCTTATACTGCAACAAGAATCTGCTGCTTTTTCATCTTCGTCATTTTATGTATATCTGCTGTATTATTAATTTTTGAAATTTTTTTTTTTATTTATAAGCTTGAAAAGAAGTTATTTTGATGTAGATTGTGTTGTTATGGACTGGTCAGATTTATTAAGCTTGTAACGCACCATGCTGCCTAAGTATATTGTTGTCATAGCCAATAATTGAAAATCTTAGGGGTTATTTGAGATCACTTACTATTTTTATTTTTTGTTTTTTTTATTTATGATTTATGTGAAACAAAAATATATTTGATATCTTAATTATGGTTTACTTTTTATTTTTGTTGTTTATCTCATGAGCCCATTGAGGCGAATGATGATTGTAGTTGTCATTGACGGCTGGTGGTCAGCACTGAAGGTTGGTTCGCCGGGGCTGATATCATTTTGAAAATAGTTTAATTATCAGAAAACACCTAAAAGTTATTCTGAATTTTTTAAAAAGGAAAGTTGACTTTGTGTCCAAAAATATTGAAAATTGGAGAAATGTGCATGTTATTTATTTTCTGTGGAAAATATGTCAGAAAGTTCATTTTGGACCAAAATATTCCCGCTTATTACAAATGTGTTAAAGCTTTTGTTGAATAGCTATGCGAACTTTCATTCGACATTCACAACTCATATGTCTTTAGTATGTGGCAATATTTCACGACTTCACTCCTTATTCTTATCTGTTCAATATTAGTAATATTATATGTTTGATTATTTAATTTTGAAAACTTTGTTTTCACTTCAATTCTTAAACTTTAGAATTTCGTTATTGTTGGGGTCAAATTTTTATGTCAGGTGTAGGGTGTCCGCTTGACTAGCTCGGGATGATTCACTACTCGTCAATAGCACCTCGTAGTTTCGAGCCTACGGAAGGTAGGCACCAACTTGTGGTGCCTAGGCTCCAAAAACTTGGTGGCCAAATGCGTCTAGGCTCTAAAATCTTGGCGCCATGTTCATGGCATCTATGCATCGATTTGCTTCCAAGTCTTGAAAAATCTCAATTTTTGCATAGATGCCTAGGCTGCCAAAATTGTAGGACTTCTTGAGTTTAGAGGATATTTGCTTAGGTAGGTTAGAGGCTCTTAGGATGAGGTGCAAGGCCACTTTTGACAAATTTGCGGGGAAATTGGGAGGGGCGGGTTTAAGCTCTCCTGTCACCTCATTTTTCATGCATTCCTCTTTTCAACATTTTTGGGCCTCCTCCAAGAGTTGAACTCTTCTTATTTCTTAGGGTTTCTTCTTCCTTGGAGCTAGGGCTTCTTCTTGAAGGCCTTGAGGTGGAGAGCTTGGGGAAAACGTGAGAGTGAGAGCTTCTACTTCCTTTTCACCTTCTTCTTGAACAAGAAACTCTTCTCCTCCTAGCCTCTTTTTTTGTTCTGTCCCCACCATTTCATTTGAGTATATGAGGAGAGCTTTTTGAGAAAAAAAGAGCTTAGCTAGCAAGGAAGCAAAATTTCTTCTCTCCTACACCAAAAGAGAGATTCATCCAAGCTTGGGGAAGGATCGTCGAAGCACCGTCTAAATTTTGTCGGAGCTCGAAACTTCGCCGGACTCTCCTTCTAAAGGAGAGCTTCTTCGTTCTTTGGAGGAGTGTTGCAGACCTCGTTGGAGTTTTGTGAGAACATCGCCATCTCTTCTACCACTAGGAGAGCTTCATCCTACGTGAAGAAATTCAACATCAAATGTCGCGTTGATGAGATTCTCTAAAAATCTCTTGCATTTTATTCCTTCGCTAGCCCTAGGATTATATTTTGGCTAGGTGTTGTGGATTAGGTCATCCACACGAGGCGAGTTGGCCGACCGAAACTAGTCGGTACGACCACATGCCTTTGGATTGGCCGTTGATTTCCTAGAGGAAGCCCTAGGTTAGGAATCTTTCATTGGACAAATCCATAGTGAACTCTAGTGGTTTCTCGTGATAAGCTTTAGATTTCCCCAAGACTTTGGCCCTTCCAACCTTCTTTGGAGGGGTTGGGATAATTCGATCTTGAATAATGATGAAAGCTTTGTAGCTAGCTCATTCTACAAAATTGTGAGAGGTTCGTAGGATGGAAAAAACTTTTGTAGCTAGTCCTCCCTACGAACAATGAAATACTTGTTCTACAAGAAATTAGAGGGCGAAGTTCTCCACATTTTCTTACCAAAGTCGGAGGCAGCAATGCGACGAATCCAAGAGCTAAAACCTTAGGTGCATATGTGAGATCATCAACATGAGTATGACTCTTTATTATTTGTGATCACTTATATCATATCATGTTGTATTTCACAGATCACTTTTTTGCCTCGACTGGCCGCCCTGGCCCTATCGACATCACATTTTGCCTCGACCGGCCACCCCCGACCCAGTCGACATCACATTTTGCCTCGACCGGCCACCCCCACCCAGTCGACATCACAGTCGACATCACACTTTGCCTCAACCGGCCGCTCTGGCCCGGTTGACATTTCACTTTTGTCTGACCGGCCGCCCCGGCTTGATCGACTGACCATTTTGGCCCGACCGGCCACCCCCAACAGACTCATTCTCCGCCTCATGGTTTAGCGAGAGCTTTGAAAGTACCAGAACATTCCTCTGTGAGATAACCATCTATTGATAGTCCTGTGTTAATCGTCATAACTGATGTAGGCAAAACTCTTTTAAATTAAGAGTATTCTTATACAACCCCCAAGATGTAATTAACCAAGTTGGATACATCATATGATGAGCACTCTAGACTCCAGAATAAGCAAACACACATGAATCTCTGGTTGTGGGTTATCTACATAGTTATTCTTTCACGGTTATTGGTTTAAAATGATTCCGCCCGATCTTATTTGGGTGGACATACTTGACATATCCTTGCAAGGTTTATCGCATTTAGGTTATCCAAATTCTTTCTCTTGTTTGTCCATCTTTGTTGTATGTTCTACTATTATGGTTCCTCTCCTCCTGATCATTCACATGATCAAGAAGATATACTTATTCAGAAAAGAGAAGCATACAACGATGAACAAATTGTCATCTCCTTTAAAATAAAAAAGAGAAATGAACGAAAACAGACTGACAACTTTGTTGTGGATGAGGCTCTCTTTAACGTGGGATTCTAGTATATTCGCAAGACTGGCCACTCCTTTGAGGAAGATTCTCTCTCTTTCCATGCCCGAAGTTGTGTTCCTATTCTGCGGGACCCAACAAATTCCCAGACTAGTGGAGCCGCTAGGGGTAGGCAGTCTCTCCCTCTTAGGTGTTATGCTTACATTTCTAGTCACCTAGCTTCCTTTCTATCATAGTGTCACTAGTTGTGTCTTTTAGATCTTGGACTTCAGATCCACGCATTAGGCACTATGGTTAGTGATTGGTTCTCTGGTTACATGTGGCTTATGTAGGGATTCTCTTCGTGGATGTCGTATTTCGAGATATTTCGATCCAATCATGTTTGGACGTATACTCTCAACCCATCACACGAGGATTACCTACATATAAGTTTTTCGTCACTTTTATTTTTAATTGTTTATCTATTTTTCTGTTATATGTCCTTTATATTTGATTCCTCTCATCTTAGAATCATTTATATAATTCAGGAGGGAGATTTATTCGAATAAGAGAATCATATGACGATGCATAAATAGACAAGCTGGTGACTCTGAGGCCTAAAAAGAATCAAGAAAAGCACACGCCCCTAAGGATATCTTAGATCTCATTCTCTCTCTCAAGCATCTTAAGTACACAGAAGTAACTAACCGTCTGAATTGTTTTCATTTGATCGTTAAATACATGGCAACCTTTATCTTAAAAAACTTCAAATCAGTGATATCTTCTGATAGTATTCTTTCTCAAAATAGAAGATATAAGGACCCATCGAACACTTGCTGCTCTCTGTCGTCACTTCCATTATCTTGGCTTCATCGATTTCCAGTTGGATAAGCATTGTGGTACTCATCCTAAGCTGATACACTTAGATAATATTTCCGCCATCTGATTTTCTTCCCGACCAATATGTTCAATTTTGAAGTTAGTAAACTTCTCAATCTCTTATTTCACCTTGTTGAGATATTTGGCAATCATCTCATCTTTGGCTTCAAACTCTTCATTTAATTGGTTCACGACCAATAATGAGTCCAATTTCACTAGAAGATTTAAATCACTTATTTCATATGCTAGACGTAGTTTTGCAATCAAGTTTTCATACTTCGCTTGATTGTTGCTAACTTCAAACTCCATTGTGATCAAACAATAGAGGTGCTCTCTGATAAGACTACTAAGAGTCAATTTGCACCCTATATTGGATTGTTTAGAAGCTCCATCAACGTTTAGAGTTCATACATAATCCTTATTTATGCTTCGATGTTTAATTCAACCGTTTCAAAGAAATCCACCAGGAATCTATGATTGCTTGTGCCTTAATCATTGTCTCGGGTACATAGGTGATATCAAACTCACTAAGTTATACAATTCATTTTAAGAGCTGACTACAATGTTTCGACCAAGTAAAAATGGACTTCAAGGGATGGTCAGTGATGACCATATTGGGTGCATTTGGAAATTTAATTAAAGTCTGCAAGCCGAAATAACTAAAACAAAAGTTAGTTTTTTCATTATAGGGTAGCTGGTTTCAGCTCCTTTAAGAACTCAGCTTGTATAATAGACCGAATATTGCTTTCTTTAATCTTCTTTGACGAGCACCGAACTAACTACCTCCTTCCCAACTCTCAAATATAAAGCGAGTTCTTCGTTTGGCTTTAGCCTTTGGATTAGCGGCATGGATACCAGAGAGTTTTTCAAACTCTAAAATGCTTGTTCACATTTTTTTGACCATTCAAAATGCTTGTTTTCTCTTTGCACTTTAAAGAAAGCTTCATATTTGTCTCTCGATTTCGTGATGAAACAACCAAGTCTCGCTATCCGTCCAATCAATTTTGAACCTCTTTTGCCTTTCGTGGGGATGGAATGTCCATCAAAGCTTTTACTTTTTACGAAGTTGCCTTTATAATTTTAAGTGTTAAAAGAAAACTGAGGAATTTTCCAATCAAGGCCCCAAACGCGCACTTTCATGGGTTTAATCTCATAGTATATTTTTTAAGGATTGAAAACGTTATGTTTTTCTGTCGACAGACTTTTAACAAACACATTATCAACATACACTTCAACATTTTTCCCTTTATGATTAGAAAAGTTTACATCCATGAGTCGTTGGTACGTAGCCCTAACGTTCTTACGCCCAAAAGGCATTACATTAAAACGAAGCACACATTCACAAGTAATAAAAGAAGTTTTTTTCAGCATCAATCAGATGCATTTTAATTTGATGGTAACAAGAGGAGATGTCAAGAGAACTCATCACTGAATATCCAACAACTTCATTGACTAGTTTATCTATCTTTGGTAAAGGGTAGCTGTCATTCAGGTGGGCATTTTTGAGGCTCGTAAAATCCACTCACATCCTCCATTTTCTATTTGACTTTGGCGGCCCAGGTTGGATACTGGACTTCTATAATATAGCTGACTTCCTTCAACGTCCTCACTTCTTCGATGAATGACTTTGTTGGGGTTCTAGTATATGATCAGATTTTCTACTACACTGGTTGGGCTGATCGATTGATGTTCAATCAATGGCACACCACGTCAACCGATATTCCAAGCATTTCCACACCAGTCCAGGCGAAGACATCTTGATGTTCACAAAGAGTTTGGATCAGCATGTTCAGGTATCCTGCATCAAAACAATCACTTTTAGAAAAATTTATTGGGGTCCTCGGTTGATGCAGGTATTTCAAGGATGGCCTCACTAATCTCAAGACTCCCTTCCCTTCAGACTTGTATATCAAGTGGATCCTGCTCCTCGCTGGTGATCGCTCGTATATAACATCTTCGGGATTGCTCTAGATTTTCTCAAACTATGATGACTTCTTCACTCGCCAAAAATTTGATAGCTACGTGATAAGTCGAGTTCACTACTCGATAGCTATTTAGCAAGTGTCGGCCAAAAATGACATTATACGTCAGTGGTGATTCAACCACTAAGAAGTCCTCAGTTTTGTTGAACTGTTTCTCCTACTTGCCCCAGGAGACGCACAGAGCTATAACACATAGAGCTTCCTTTCATTCACCAGAGAAGTTGAATAATGAACCAACCGATGCAGACAACCGATCGGACTTTAACCCGATCTTATCAAATATTGGTTTGAAGAGAATATTGACAAAACTTCTGATATCAATAAGAATATTATCAACCTGGAAGTTATTAATGAGTGTCATAATAGTAATGTTGTTATGCAGATTTCCTTTCAATGGCAAATCCACGTCAGTAAATATGATGGGCGGGTGATTCCATTTTTGGATAGAGCTGACGATGAGTACCTCCCCCAGTTGAGCCTTTTTTTATTGGCCTGACGGGATAATTCACCCCCTCCAAAGATAGTTGGAATGATCCCAGCAATGTATATTGAGTTTGCTCGGACTGGCTCGCTCGAATCCTCTATCTTCGGTGCCTTTCCTTATCATTGGATGTTTACTTCGATCACAATAAATTCCTTCCATTTTTTGGTGCAGATCAGGTCTTCCACTAGATTTCTCAAATATCAACATTTTTCAGTATCATGGCCCCGATGGTTCTGACAATATTTGTTGGGGTTCCGGAGGCCAGCTCTGGTTTTCCTTAGTGCTGACTTCTTAAATTACTCTTTATTTTTTATGACCTCCACCTATTCAGCTTCTGTATTAGTGGGGGTCATTCCATGCATGTCACGGTACACAAGTGGATGCTCATAGTACCGAGTATGGCCCCTCTAATCGTTATTCCCTCTTCGTTCGTCTCTACGGTTCCATTCATCATCATATTTTGCCTGACCGAAAGGCTGTTGCTTGCTCCTCGTCTTCCACCTTTCGCCCTGGGCAGCCCTTTTCTTCGATCACCAATCAGATGTCTTTATTTATTATTCAGAGGGACCGTTGACATACAAATCGACAATAATATAGTTGTTGGTCATCTCCCACAATTCAGTCAATGTTATGGGCTCACACAATCTTAAATCGAATTTGAAATGGGCCATTCTCACTCCTTGAGTCAGGGCATTCTGCACGCTAATTGGGCATAAGTCCTGGACTTCCATCATTTATTTCTAGAAACAGGTGATGTAAGAGCGAAAGCTTTCACTCTCACCTTACATGAGCTGTAAAAGGACCTTAGATTTCTTCTTTGGTTTCTAGAAGTTGACAAAGTGAGCCATGAACTTTGTTGACTTCAACAAAAGTGGACATGGTCCTTGGTGGCAGGTTATTGAACCACTTGAGGGTCGTCTTCTTCAGGATGGTTAGAAACAGACGACACTTCGTGGCATCATTGATTCACGACATTCTAATAGTTTATTTGAACGAGACCACATGATCGGTTGGATCACTCTTTCATTTATAAAAGTCCAAATGCGGAGGACAGAATTTTGTTGGTGGTTCAACTTCGTTAATCTGCAGATAGAATGGATTTTTCGGTGTCGCAGGTGCCTCATCTTGCGCAGACTGGTTCCTCTCCACTAATGCAGACCCAACATCGTCATGCTGGGAATTTTCCTGCTCGTTGATTGTCAGAATCATTCTCCGCAACTTGAAACTGGTGGCTCCTCTCAGGGTTCCTCCCCGTGAGGTTGAGTTCCGCGAGACTCTTCTGCCGAGGGAGATGGTTAAGCTCATATTTGTGTGATTGCTTCTTGGAGGACATTAAAGCAACCAAGCACCTGATTTTGTAACTCCTACTTTTTCTACTGAATTTGTTGTTGTAAGAACTCCCAAGTGGATTATATTATCGTTGTGTCTCTCTGGCTAGTCTTGCCTTTCTGTAATGCTCTATTTATTGTCTGTGGCATGTCCATGCTCATTGCACCATCTTTTGGGGTGTTGAATCCTAAAATGTCATTGTAGGCACACCCTGAGAATTTAAAATACAAGAAAAGAAGATAGAAGAGAGAAGACACATGACCATATGAAATTCTGAAAATTGAGTGCGTAACATTTATTCATAAAATAACTCCTATTTATAACTATAGATAGCTTGAGTATACAATGACAATACTATCCCCTTTATCTTAACGGTTAAGTGGCATTCTTTATTTTTTTTTTCTAACCTTATATAATTAATTTAACTACCTCTTTAATACTAACAGCTGAATGTGCATCACTTTCACAAATGGTCAAAGCTTATTGGACATAATAAATGAGTAAACTGTTTCCACTTCTAACTGATGGTTTCCTCATTCATGATATATTATGGAGCTCGTTTGATTCTAATCGATCATTCATGTCTGATGGGATTACCGGTAATCTAGGTAAGCGAACTAAGCTGACCAACCGTTCACTAATCTTTGGCATGGAATTTTGATTGGAAACAGTGGAGGCCCCTCAAAATCATTCGATCTCTTTGGAATGTGAGTTGTGACATTTTTCCTTTATACACCGCACATATACTCTAAATTCATTTTTAAAATTTCATCTAAATATTAAAATTCATAACTAAATTTCAACTCAATTGTATATTATTTCAAATTTTTGATAAATTGGTTTTCGCGCATATAAATTCACATATTTCTTACCTAAAATATATAAATGCACAAACTTATTAGCTAAAGTATATAAATATTAATTGTATGCATTGTTGAAATTTAGATGCATTTTAACGGTCGGAATGTAAATTCTAATTTTCAGACCCTGCCCTGTTTTTTTGGCAAATTTGCCACCTGGCTAAAGCCCTACTATCTCCTCGCAGTGGCATCCTCGCTCCCAAAATGCTCGCCCGCCTCACTCGCCCCGTCCACCTCCGCCTCCTATCAAAAACCCTAGCTTTCGCTAACCAGCCATTCTCTTCTTCTCGTTCTATCCTCCATTCTCCTTCTGCTTCCCTTCCTCCATCTCAGCCCCGACCTATAGCTCCCTATAGTTGGCCCCTTCTTGATCATGGCAGGTCTTTTACGAGCAGTCGAAAACCGAGCGGCGGTAATAGCGACGACACCTGGAAGTTCGCTGCAGAATCCGAGGATACAGATTCCATCTTTAAGCTGGATGAAGAGAACCTCTCTGGAATCGGGGAGGGAGCCGAGGATGCGCACGGATCGAGCGAGGTAGAAACCGAGACAAGTGGAGAATTTAACAAGGAAAAAAGTCCTTGGGAAGAAATTTCTGCTGGTGATGTGGAACGTGATATTTTTGACGGCATTGATCGGGATATTGCGTCGAAAGAGGGAGGCAGAGATGCTGTGTGGGAGACAGCTGAGGGCTACAAGCCATGGAGCATGGGTGACGCTGATGAAAAGGGTGATGTTTTTGGTATTGGAGAGGAAGTGGGGGCGATGGAAGGGTTTGAGGCCGAAGGGGTTTATGAGTTAGAGAAGGAGAGGAATGAAGAGAAGGAGAAGTTGCAGCAAAGAGAGCAGGAGTTGCTGGCTACTCTAAATGGTAATAGAAATTCTCTTTTTAATCTGTATATTTTCACATATGAATTTCTACTTAAAACTCGCTTTGCTGAAAATTGGGTGATCTGGTATAGAGGTTAGTCGAGGTGTTGATCTCCACACCTTTCAGTGATTTTTTTATTAAATTGAATCGAGTAAGCTAGCATATTCATTCCAATATCAAATATAGAAACTTACAATGATAATACCTATCACATAAATACCACTCAATTCCTATGTATTCATATGCACCTAAACTTCAAGATTTACATATATATACAACCTTTCCCATGCATGAAAAAGTGTATTTCACTTTTTCAAAGTTAAAATAAGGGTACTTATGATGTGATATGAATGATTTTATGGTATAAATGTAAAAAGTAAGGTTGTTTACATAACATTGCTATTTACAAAAATAGCACCTCTTTCATCCATTTTTCAAATTCTTACTCAAATATCAAAATTCATCATAAAATCCATCCCATATTTTTCACTTTTATCAAATTCTCAATTAGCACACGTAAATACATCGGTTCGGTAGTTCAAAAATATCAAATGGGTGCTAGATTTTATAAATAACAATGCTTCGGGTGATATGTATGTAATTATCCCAAAAGGTTAAGTTTAGGTGTTAGAAATGTAAATATATATTAAGTGAGTGGGATGTATGTAAACGCCCCTTCTATTTTTTGTTGTGTTTTCTTAGTCCTTGTCACACTTTCTTTAGGGAAATGAATTTGCATGTTGGCTTTACAAACAATTTTGTGAAAATTTTGACATTGCACATTGTTTTTATCACATACTAGCATTTTTTTCTAAATGAGAATAATTGTTTTGAAAAATTTTTTGGCCATGTTTTTGGTGAATTTCTTCATCAATATGTGAGCATATTCAACAATGATTGATCTTTTTCGATTTAATAATATTTTATCATGGTTAATTTATAATGTATTGCCCAAGATAAGTGTTATCTTTGGAAGTAATTTCATGACATGAGGTTTTCAGTAGTTCGTATTTAATGCGTGATATTAGATTTGAGAACTATTCTATCAATTCACTTTATGCACTATTTGATATGCATGTTGTCAAAAAACATAGTAGAATTATTCAGTTACTTTTGTTGTTAGCAAGCCAATTTGGCCTAAGAAAATGAGAATGCATAATCTTCATATTTATTGAGTTGGTAAGATTATTGAACACCATAGTGATTTGAAGCATTTGTTAGGATTTGAATGCGTAGTAATAGTGATTTTAAGCTTTGAACATGAAGTCTACAAAACGAGAGGCTATTTTTCCTATAATGGTTGTTTGGCTATCATAATGTAGTTAAAAATATGATTTGTTTGGGGTGGTTGTATTTTTTTGTAAAGATAACTGTAAAGCTATTCTAGGGAAATTAATTTTTTTTTTAGTTGTTGTTGCTGTTATAAATATTTTCTTAAAAAGTTGAACTCTAGTTTTCTTATGGTTACCACACAAATAAACTCATTTGTAAAAATAATGTTCTACATTTAAATTTTTGAAAACAACAATAAGATGGAACCGTGGTAACCGTCGAAAAAGTTATCCCAAACTAATCATTCACTTCAAAATGTTTTAGGGCGTCAAACTCAATTATTTTAGTTAATGGCATGTGTCAAATATTTATTCTAACTTTTAGGTTAGCTATTCCCTGATCTCATTTGTTCTCCCTCTATTAGCTGACCCCAATTCTCCATGAATGAACTTTTGTAGTCTCTAATTCACTGTAGAGAAGGCGACATAAGATATATGGATCCATGCACAGAACACGACATAGCACGATATGTGAACACGACATAATAGCAAAAAGTAGGACACGACACTTCATTGACACTTTTTTATATTTAACGAATTATTACTATAAATATAATTTTGTACTATTCTCTTCTAAAGTCTTTAGATAATTCAATTTGCATAAAAATAACTTATAACTGGAAAAAAGTGCCTAAAAAGATGTATGATGAGAAGTATACAACAACAACAACAACAAAGCCTTAATCCCACTACGTGGGGTCGACTACATGAATCATTTTTCTCCATTGCGTCCTATTTAGTGTCATATTTTCATTAAATTCTAGTAAATTAAGATCATTTTTAATACAATAAGCCCCATTCTTCCTAGGTCTACCTCTTCCTTTCTTAACACAAGTCGAATCTAAAACATCTACTCTCATAATCAGATGATCAGATGGTCGACGTATGATGAGAAGTATACAAGAAAAAATATAACACAAAACTATAAATATATTCGAACGAGAATACAAATATGACAACATGTCATAATATCAAAAAATAGAATATGACGCGCCATGGATACATTTTTATATTTAACAAATTATTAATATAAAATATAATTTTGTACTATTCTCTCCTAAAAATATTCGATAATTGGACTTGCATAAAAGTAACTCATAACTGGAAAAAAAAGCCCTATGAAAAATATCCAAGAAAAAAGTATAGCACAAAATTATAAATGTATTCTAACGAGCTTCCCTAAACACAAGCCTCACAAAATAAAGTTTCTATTAAGTGCAGAAGCAACAGTAACCTAAATGCATCCGATAAGTCTATAAAGCACAGTGATTCAAAGGCTCTAATAAATGCATTTGAATGAGCAATATTCTATAAATTACAATGAAGTTCCTTTAGCTTACTTGCTAGCAATGGCTTGGTTGTTGAGATGCACGAGGATTTTTCTGTATCCAATCTTTGACCTTGATTTGCAGCTTCTAGAGAGCTTTGAACAAGCGCGATCTACCTTTCTTCATCATCTTAGCTTAGAAATAAACTTATCATCTTCATATCTTCTTTGAAATGAGATTCAAATGATATCTTCACATCCTCATTGTCTTTGTATCCTGGCATGAGAAGATCCAAGTTAGGGCAGTGCATTTTTTGGTTTAGGGTCTGTTTGGGACAGCTGCGGCTTATCCAGCTTATCCAGATAAGCTGCTGATTCAGATAAGCTGTTGATTTACTGCTGATCCAAATAAGTTGTCTGACCGTTTGGTTTGTACATTTTGAAAACAGCTGATTCTTGATAAATGATTATACTGCCCCTGTTTTGGATAAATTGTTTGACTGTTTTGTTTGTGCATTTTAATGACAGACAGTTATAAAATTTTTAATAAAAAACATACAATTTGAAAAAAAAAATTAATAAAAAACATATCCAATTCAATTTCTAACATATCCAATTAGAAAGATTACTAACATAGTCGGGCAAGAAATCACTCAGTCAAGAAATAAGTTTGGTTAGTTCCTCTTCCATGCCACCACTCAGTCAAGAAATAAAAAGGAATATAGTGCAACATCAACATTTAGAGGAAGCTCCTGACATATGTTGGAAATTTCAAAGCAAACCATTGCTCAAATAAGCAAACCATTGCTCAATTGGGCCTTGAGCCATCAGTCTAGAAGAAATCTTATCAATCTAGCTTATTACAGCCTAGCGAAGTTCCACTAAAAGCACCTCAAAAGCCAAAGAATTATAAGAAATCAAATATGAATACTATATGTTTTAAATTGATAATACCAAAAAAAATAATTTACATAAAAACCCAAATTTAATAAATTCAAATTCAAAAGGCAGACAAAAGCCCTATTCCTAATCCAAATTCCTAATTCCTAAGACTCACCCCAAAGTGGAAGAAGAGTAAAAATAACAAGAGCAATAGTTGCTACTATGTAACAGTTTTAAATTTGCCAACTACTGCAAGCAAACAGGGCTGAAAAATAAAAAATGAAGACTGAAGTTGGCCATAATCAAATAATTAAGAAACTGAAAGCTCCATTAAATATATGAAAGTGTAATTACATAAAAATTGTTTTACATCAACATAATTTCAACCACACGACACCTACAATTTACTCCTTTACAAGTCTTCACAAATTCACGACGTTATCACAAAAAAAAAAAAAAACAGTTCACAAATCAAAACCACATGGCACCTGCAATTTACAAATCCAACCCAAAATCAATCTCCTCAGCTAATTAGTTAAAAACAGTCCACAAATCATTTAAAAAATTGAAAAATAAAACACTAATATATCTGAAAGAGGGGAAAACAGAGAAGACTTCTTCCTCACAGGGATCGTGAGGGCCGTATTATAGTAAAAACAACAAGAGCAATAGTTAATGAGAGGGGAGAGTGGATTTACCTGGAACGGGATGAATGCCGAATGGAAGAGCCGATGACCGCCTGTGATTAATGTCGAAGAAGCAGGAATAGGATCTACGTGAAGAGCAGGAGCGAATGTCGTAGAAGCAGGGAGAGAAGCGCTGGTTAGGAATGCGAAAGGGAAGGGAAGGAGCGACTCCAGGAGCGGCTAGGGATTGCGACTATTTATGCGAGCGACTCCAGGAGCGGCAGGGAGCATAAGCGGCTAGAGATCCGAAGGGAAGGGGAGATTGCGAGCGACTGCAGGAGCGGCGGCTAGGGATTGCGAGCGAAGGGGAGGGAGCAGAAGCGGCCAGGGATCACGAAGCGATAATTTGTGATTGCTATGAAAGGGTAGCGGCATAAATCGGGATTAAACACAGTGAAGATACGCTGCCCGCGGGGGTAATGCCGCGGGCGAAATTCTTCGTAATCCCTAAATAGCGTTTTTTAATAAGCTGGCCAAAAATTCTAAACAAACCTGTTTTAAGCTGTCCCAAACGGGCCCTTAGTCACATCCCATGTCTTGCGTCTCCCATGTCCACATTGTGTCTCTCCCGGGGTGCCCAAATTTACAAAATAAATTTTTTTTAAATAGTTTGTGGTGTGATTAATATTTTGAAATGTTTAACCAGTTTAACTTAAATCAATAAGTTTAAAACTAAAAGCAAAGTCATTATCAATTTGATTTATAAACTTATAAATAACTTTGGTAGATATTTTATTAGTTCTATTATTAGACTTCAATTGATTATCCGACTAATTAGTACTACTTGGAGAATATATGATCGATGATATGATATCACAAAATATAAGAATCAACTCATGTTAATGCAAGTAGGTATCTTCCGTTGAAATTTTAGAAGCCTTGAGACATTGCGTGCAACCGGAAATTTGTTTCATCTAGAAGAAGTAAACTATAATTCTCTTTTTCATCCTTAAACACCATTTATTATAATCACACAAATCTCTCTTCTCAATTTACAAATAAAAAGAAAAAAAAAACAAAAGCTGTGAACTAGAAGTTCAGCATCACCTATGTTTTATTTTATACTCCCATAACTTTATTATATCTTATAAGTTCAAATTTTTATTATTACGATAAATTTTAGCATCCTTCTTCTTAACATTGATAAAATAATATTCCTTTTTATTTAACACTGTTACCTATATATCTTCATTGCCTCAGTCATGAATAAATAAATAAAAGTTAATTCTAATAAACACTTCAATAATTTGTCATCCTTTCAATATTTTTGGTTACATTGCTTAATTAAATATTTTTAAAGCTAATCAACTTTTATCATTTTGAAACAATCTATCGTATACTTGTTATTTGATTTAAATAACTTTAAAAAAAGGCCGCCCCTGAAAGTATTCATCATACTTCACTTTTTGGATATGTATTGTTCAGTTTGCTTTTCTATAAAAAAAAATAGGGGCATTTACATACATAACACACAATTCTAAAGTACATATCTCACACCTGAACTTTCATATTTATATACATAATACTCAAATATTTAATATTACATAAAAAACATCACTGTTATCAGTTTTTAAAAGTAAAATACACCTTTTCATGCTTAGTTTAAAGCACCAAAGTGTTATGTATGTAAATATGAAAGTTTAGGTTTGAGATATGTAATACATAAGAATTTTGTGCTAGGTATGTATATTTCCCCAAAAGAAAAAAAAAACAAAAAATCCTTACAACCCTGCATCATATGTCAACCGATAAGGTTGGTATGGATTGAAAAATCTTATATTAGAAGTCAAATATCTCTTTAGGCATCGTAAGACTTTTTGGATTTATTGTCCGGTGAATCTTTGCAACGCAGTTTATAAACCAATTTTTGAGCGCTATACTTGAAATTTAAATAAGCTGATCCCCAATTTACGAGATGCCTCCTTGTGTTTCATCAAAGCTTCATGACCATGGGCATTCATTCATGTAAACACGCTATTAAACAATGCTTTGCTAGATTCTTCACATCATAATTTCTGTAAATCTCACAAACAAACAAATTTTATAGAGTTTTTGAAATAAAAAACGGGGCATTTACACACAGACCACTCAATTCTTGTATATTTACATGTCTAACAGATAAAATTTGCTTTTTTACATTTATATCACCCAAATCATTCATATCACGTCAAAATTACCCCTCTTTTAACTTTTAAAAAGGGAAATACACCTTTTTCACGAATAGGTAAGGTGATATGCATGTAAAAAATGAATTTTAGGTATGCACGTACATCTTCCATTTCTTGATAGATATGTAAGCACATAGGAATTGAGTGGTATGTACATAAATCTTCCATTTCTTTTTTCCTTTCATCATTATTCACCAATTTCTTCTCTACCTCCAGAACAAGTTTTAAAATTATACACAAGTATTCTGTTTATTCCCTTGTTATTTTCTGCATTCACCCATGTTTTGCCACTCTCCAGGTCCAAATCGTGCATTCGGAGATTTAATTGCGGCATCTGGAATAACAGAGGACATGATTGACAGTTTGATTCTTTTAAAGGATGTTCGAGGCATCCAGGGCCTGCCTCCCCTTAGCGAAATCGAAGATAAGGCTATAGCGAAGTTGAATGCTACCTCTTCGAGAGCAGAGGTGGAGCGAAAAAAACAAGAAGAAATTTCAAAAGCACGGGTTCGAAAGGTCGATGAAAAAGGAAGGGCTTATGGAACCGGTCGAAGGAAATGTAGCGTTGCTCGTGTTTGGGTTCAACCCGGCGATGGAAAATTTATAGTCAATGATAAGCAGTTTGATGCGTATTTTCCAATTCTTGATCATCGTGCAGATCTTCTTCGTCCATTTACGGTGACAAATACATTGGGCCTATGGGATGTCACTTGTACTGTGAAAGGAGGAGGTGTCTCAGGTGAGGTTTGTCAACTAGAATTTTTTCTTTTAGGGAAGTATACATGCATACCACACAAATTTTATCTATTTGCATATCTAACTACTAAACTTAACTTGTTTTACATTTAAATCACCCTAATCTTTCATGTCGCATAAAAACTTACCACCATTTACTTTTAAGAAGTGAAATACACTTTTCATTCATAGAGGTAAGATGTTATGTATGTAAAAATTGAACTTTAGGTGTTAGATATGTAAATACATAAGAATTAAGTGGATATATGTAAATCTTCCATGAATTTATTTTGCCCATAGGTATGCTGCCACACTGCATGCATACCAGCATATTGCTTCGGCACAAAACTCTTCTCCTTAAAAGCATTTTTAAGATTGAACTTAATCTGTGCTTCACCACAACAAAGTGTTCTGTTAAATTTTTGTCAGCAAATTTGGTGCAATATAAATTAATGAGAAAAGTATCAAAATAGTCTTCCAACTTTTCGTGGAGAGGTCATTTTAGTCCCAGAGTCTTTAAAAGTGTTAATTTGCCCCCGCAACTTTTTTAATATGGGCTGAACTAGTCTTAACAAAGGACTGGTTCAGCCACAATTTAAAAATTTTAAGGACTACTGTTACATTTTTATGAACTTTTAGTGCCCCATGTAAACAGTAAGGAGACTATTTTGACACTTATATATTTTTCAACGAAAATGTAAAATTCTATATTCAGTTTAATTAATACTTAATTCTTCTATGTAAAGCTGGATTTAGCTTAAACTTGCAGGTCAAGTGGGAGCTGTTCGTCTAGGAATTAGCAGGGCCTTGCAATGCTGGGAGCCAGGTTTTAGACCATACCTTAAATCAGGTAAATGTTTGGAAAGCACTGTATATCCACTCAAATAATCACTGTTTTTTTGTGTGATTTCAATCTCCTCTTAGGCTGTTTTGATTGTTCATAAATAGAAAGCTCGTCGTAGAAAACAATTTTTTTGTGGAGTTCGAAATCAATCTTAATTTCTGACATTCAACCAAATGATAAATCTAACATTGTTTTTCAACTTCATACAATTAAATGGACCCTAAACATGATGGAATGGAAATGAAGTTGTTAAATTGACAAATCGACAACTACATATTCATAAAAGTGAAGTGCCAAAATAGTCCTCAGATTATTTACATGGGGTCATTTTAGTTCTATAGTATATAGAAATATCAAACTAATCGCTAAACTTTTTAAATTGATACTGAAATAGTCCTTTGTGGACAGTATTTCAGCTCATATTAAAAGAATTTGGGGACTATATTGACACTTTATAAACTTTGAGACTAAAATGACCCCTCCTACGAAGAGTTGGGAGACTATCTTTACACTTTTTTTTCTTAAAAAATGCCTAAGCTCAGTTTTTTCCCCTTCATACTTAATGTTGGCCTTTAAAAGAGAAGCATAAAATTAAGGTAAAATTTACTGAGATGAGAATGTTTAGGTGGATGAGTGGCTTTAGACTTAGAGACAAAATGTGAAATGAATGTATCCGCGATAGGGTTGGTGTAGCTCCAGTGGCAGACAAAAATAGAGAAAGTCGTATTAGATGATTTAGTCACATTAAACTTCGACCATTCGATGATCCGGTTAGGAGAGTAGATGTTTTAGATTCGATTTATGTTAAGAAAGGCAGAGTGGACCTTGAAAGACTTGGGCATAATGTATAAAATGTTGGCTTTCAAAAGAGAAGCATAAAATTAAGGTAAATGTTACTGAGATGAGAATGTTTAGGTGGATGAGTGGCTTTAGACTTGGAGACAAAATGCGAAATGAATGTATCCGCGATTGGGTTGGTGTAGCTCCAGTGGAAGACAAAAATAAAGAAAGTCGTATTAAATGGTTTAGTCACATTAAACTTCGACCATTCGATGATCCGGTTAGGAGAGTAGATGTTTTAGATTCGATTTATGTTAAGAAAGGCAGAGTGGACCTTGAAAGACTTGGGCATAATGTATAAAATGTTGGCCTTTAAAAGAGAAGCATAAAATTAAGGTAAATGTTACTGAGATGATAATGTTTAGGTGGATGAGTGGCTTTAGACTTAGAGACAAAATGCGAAATGAATGTATCCGCGATTGGGTTGGTGTAGCTCCAGTGGCAGACAAAAATAAAGAAAGTCGTATTAGATGGTTTAGTCACATTAAACTTCGACCATTCGATGATCCGGCTAGGAGAGTAGATGTTTTAGATTCGATTTATGTTAAGAAAGGCAGAGTGGACCTTGAAAGACTTGGGCATAATGTATAAAAAATGATATTTATTTATTATAATTAAATGAAAATATGACACTCGATAGGACGCAATGGAGAAAAAGGATTCATGTAGCCGACCCTGCTTAATGGGATGAAGGCTTGTGGTTGTTGCTATTGTTGTTGCTCACAGAACTGTATGTTTTATTTCAGCTGGCTTCTTGACGAGAGATCCTCGTGCCGTCGAAAGGAAAAAGCCTGGAAAGGCGAAGGCACGAAAGAGCTTCCAGTGGGTCAAGCGATGAGTTCAACTCACAATTTTTCCTCAGAGTGCTCTATTGCTGTTTGAATAACAGCTTTCCATTCATCAAACTATTGAGCAAAAGTCATCTGCAGCCTCAGCAACCAATCCCTTCAGCTCCAGTGGTTCAGTGCCTTAGCAATGAAGATTGCAGGTAGGCGTTCTTGGCCTAATAATGCTGTTTTACTCGTGTTTTATCGAAGAAAGCCATGTTTTGATTTATTATTTTGAGCTGTTATTACACAGGTTTTGATTGTCATTTTCATTTCTGCCTAAGCAGGACATGCAATTTTATATTATGAACGTTTTGGGGATTTAACTTGAAAATTTGTCTGTGGAGGTTTCATGGGGATTTCGACTTTCGAAAATTTTTTCGATCAATTTTTTGTTTGGTTGGATCTCGAAGTTATTTGATTTGTATTTGAAATAAGTATAATATGCAATCTCTCTATTCTTATGTATTTACATCACTAACACCTAAACTTCAATTTCTTACATATATGCCACTTTACCTGTGCATGAAAAAGGTGTATTTCACTTTTCGAAGGTCAAAATAATGGTGATTTTTATGAGATATAGAAGATTTTGGTGGTATAAATGCAAAAAGTATTTGTGTTAGACATGTAAATTCATAGTAATTGGGTGGTATGAATGTAAATGCCCCTTTTATCCTTGCATGTTTTGGGTATTTGACTTGAGAATTTGTAACTGGAGGTGTACTCGAATGTGTGAATAAATATAATACATAAGCATTATATTGTATATATATCAAAGCAATTCCCACAACTTTGAGATCCATTCTGACAAAGTTTTTCTTCAAGGCTTGTTGAATCATTTTCTTAGTTCAAAACTTGGGGGGGTGTTGCTCTATTGTTATTTAGAACTTTCTAATCCTAGAAACTTTGTAGTGTGGCCAGAAATATTACGTGCATATAGGATAAGTGCAGATAGATGCGGATTTCGTTGTGTTATGGTAAATATCAAGATAATACCGCCACAATACTATCGATCTGCACGCTTATTATCTACACTTAGGGTTCGTTTGGAGAGGCAGTGCGTCTCCACCGCAGTGTAGAAAAAATGGAGAAATCAGACTGCCGTCGATTGAAGAGGAAGTGTTTCTCGAGTGTCCGCCAACTCTACTCCGTGAAAATGTGAAAAAATCGTTGTTCTGAAACACACGTCCCGTTTAAAGGAGACGGCGAAGCTCCTCCAAACGAAGCCTTAATATTTCCTCATAGTGTGGCTATAACTTTTAGTCAAACGTGCATGGGGAGGGTTTATTCAATAATGATCTCTTCTAAGAAGAAAGTAAGATAAGTCAAAATTAATGAGTGGACTATTTATTCTCTTGTTAAATTATTGTTCTTGTTTTCCTTTATCCTTTACTTATTTGTGTAGTGGAAGGGTTTTTCTCCTCCAATAAGTATTACTATTTTTCAATTGATTATATTTGACATTTTGATCTTTGATATGATGTACACAATTTGATCAAGTTCAAATCTTAAAGCCCTAAAAAACTAAACCCAAAGGCCTCTTGGGCTAGTCTTTTGATTAGTCCTTGTCACGAGCATGTCTCATGATTTCTAATTTCGTGGTTCATTTGCACGTAATTTATCCAAAAAGATTGAAATTTTTAGGGTTCTTATGACTTAAAATACATGCATCTTAACTATTGATCTATTAGTGGTGTTTAATTTCTTATATGACAAACATTTTAATCTTAATGGTAGCTTTCTTAGACGTTTTATATAAAAATTATTATATTACACTCAAATCTTTTATATAGCATGAAAATTTTCATTAGTATTAATTTATGTGCATTAATGATGCCAATTTAAGCTTTTTACATTCATTTTGAATTAGCCTATAAGAGTATAACTTTGAATTTAAGTGGATTTGACTTGGGAACAAACACACACACGGGGTGTGTTTGGGGTGACTGCGGCAGAGGTGTGGTGCTGCACAATAATTTTTTTTTTTAGCAAAAATGTTGTTTTGTCAGTGTTCTCAAAATGATGCAGTTGAAAGTTGTGTTTTCCCACCATACAAGGCTACTAGTGCATGCTAGAAAGTTGCAATCTGACTTTTTCAAAATTTTATTTTTATTTTTTGAGCCACTCCAGTATATTTAACAGTAGCTCACACTTGCTTGCTGCACAATATTTTTTTTTTTTTAGCAAAAATGTGTTTTGTCAGTGTTCTCAAAATGATGCAGTTGAAAGTTGTGTTTTCCCACCATACAAGGCTACTAGTGCATGCTAGAAAGTTGCAATCTGACTTTTTCAAAAAAAAAATTTTATTTTTTGAGCCACTCCAGTATATTTAACAGCCCCCCCCCCCCCCAAACTTAAGTTTTTAAGTATTTTAAAAAGTTTCGAGCACAAAATTTAGTTGGTGAAGGAAAACAATAAATATGATGCAGTTGAAAGTTGTGTTTTCCCACTTATCAGGCTACTAGTGCCTGCTAGAAAGTTGCAATCTGACTTTTTCAAAAGTTTATTTTTATTTTTTGAGCCACTCCAGTATATTTAACAGCAGCTCACATCTGCTTCTTCAAACAGTTACAGCTGCCTCAAACAGACCCTAACATCATATAAACGCCAAATGAATTATGAGGCTCAAGGAATATCATTCATATTTAACTTTTATCATTTTTGTTTAGGCTACAAATTTAGGATTATTTTATGACTATATTATTTTTAAATGTATCCTATAATAGATTATATTTGCATGGCAGCTAAATTATATAATTTATATAAAGGCTTCCAGAAGTAGTCCTTTGTTTCATCTGAGAAACAACTAACAAAATATTCAAATGATGCACCAACTGGAAGCCACTCAGATTGATGTTAGGGCTGCAGGTCAATATGTGAGCTCAGCACAAAATCTCAACCCAAATTCCAAACCTAACAAGCTGCAAATCTTCTAAATAATACTACCTTAATTTAGAGTTATGATGTAACTCCTATTAGATAAATATATAATATAAACATTTTTTTTATTGGGAAGATAAAATTATTAAAAAAAAAAATTGAATATTTATGTTTTAAATTACATTAAATATTTAAAGCCACACAAACAAATTATCATTAAAATAATAGATGATTTCTTTGAAAAGTTCATATATTAGATGGTTGAAATTAAATTACGACTATTTTATTAAAATGCTTGTCATAAAATATTTGCGGTGTCACATTTTGGAAAAAAAATATTGACTCTGCAGTCTGGTGGACGGAGCAGAGAAGAAAAAAATTGTCCTTGATGTATCGTATCAGTTGTCTGGACGTAGCTTGTGTCTGGATTCTGGATGTCATATTTTTTTTACATTTTGGCACCAAATATTTTTTGCAAAAAGAGTTGGTCGCTAAAAAAAAAAGATTCAAATTACTCGTGTTGGGCAAAAAATTATTTTTGTCATTTCTACATATAATGAAATTATAAAGTAAATAAATGAAATCTTAGAACAAATTTGCATAATTTCTTAAAGCAAATAGCATGACTTGATAAACAATATAGCAAACTAATACAATGACCCTAAAAATAATTTTATGCTTATGATTAACAAATTATTGTATATAATTTTTGGGGCATTTACATGCAAACCTTAATATTTTCATCCATAACAATCAAATCTTTAATACCACATCAAAAATATTAGAAAAACTTGGTCTTAAAACATAAAATACATAACTTCATGCCTAAGTTTATCACACCAAATTGTTATAAATGTAAATATGAAAGTTTAGATGCCAGTTCAACAAATATCAAAGAATTTTTTGGTATATATGCAAATTCTTATAATTTTAATAACAATTAGTTCAATAAAAAAAATTTAGAAATAAATGTATTCATTAAACAAAAAACAACTAGTCCACATCATCAACATTATCATCTTCCTCAACATTGTCATCATTGATATGTCGATAAATTTTTCATTTGGCCCGAATCTCTAGATAATTTTTTGAATAAAAAATATTCAAATTTCAATTAAAAATCTACCGGAACTCCAATTTCAACGAACTTACAGTCATACTGATCGACTCGACAAGATATACCTAATAACACTCTCAAATCTAAGTCAAATCAAGCTTAGATCAAGTCGTTAAATCACTTTGAGAAGCTTTCAATGCATGATTGGAAGGTCAAACAGATTTCAAATCTAACAAGCTTGTAATCACATTGAGCGACAAACCGAATCCAACATGCCTAAGATATCTCAATTCTGACATTATTAAGTCACTCAAATGTTTTCTGAACAACATTCAATTGAGGGAATTTCTTTAGATTGTCTGATGAAGTTGTCTAAATTCTTTTCTTAGTTGCAAAAAAGCATGTCCTAAATTTTATAAATAAAGCCTTACCCCCTTCTTTAGAAGAGACTTAGACCTAAAGCCATAAGTAGATCGAAGCTTTGAGAACGACTTGAAGCTCAACATCATTTCTGCACAAAATATCCAGTTAATTTCTCTCATTTTTGCAGCTGCCGCCCACCTTTGATCGCCACTTGTCGGCTGCCTTTTACCACCATCAACTGACCTCTACCGTTGATCACCATTGGTTGCCGCATATCCTTATAGTGAAGTCTCTTGTGGAGTTAACGTGCATTACAATATCCTAGCATACATTACAGAACAGTGAAGCACCTGACAGAGCTATACATAATCTAGTACACCATGCAACAACATGCCCCGAAGATGGTATACCAAGGCACCCCAAATACGATGCACCGACACGCCTCAGTTATAATGTACTGACACACCCATATATAGTGCAACGAGGCCTCCTGAAGACAATGTAATTTTGTAACCCAGAAATGACTTACGTGGCAAATGACAAGCCTATGTAACTCACAACTCGTGCAACTCTTGACTGACACCTACGAACATCATCACAGTTTACTACTACTATCTACATGACCAACTATGACCTATGTAGCTTGCAGCTCGTACATCTCCTGACTCTTGCCTCTGCGGCTTATGGATGTTTTTACAACTCGTGCAGCTCCCAACTCTAGTCTCTATGGCCTCAATTATCTTATCTCAGCTCATAAAACACCAGTCTCTATGACCTACTTACAACTCATGCAACTCCCAACTTCAGCCTTTGTAGCCTACATACATTATCACAACTCGTGCAACTCCTAATTCCGGCCTCAACGGCCTAAGGATCTTACCTTATACAAGGCCTCAACGACATATAGATCTTAGCTTATACAAATCCCAACTCTGAACTGTGCAGCCTGCATACATTACCACGAATCATGTAGCTCATAACTCTGGGCTTTGCACTCTACGAACATTATCACGGCACATGCAACTCCTAACTCCGCCCTCTGCAGCCTCTGAACGTTATCTTAGCTTATGCAACT